ATCGGGTTCCTGGTCCGCCGGCACGTGGCGAGGCGGGGGCAGCCACTCTCTCTCCTGCCAGGGGATGAGGCTTGGCTTCTAGAGGGGCTCCGAGCCTGGGAGGCCCGAGCTTGGGAAGCCTCTTGGTGGGGGCGCCCGCCTTGTGGGGAGGGCTTGGCTCGCCTAACGGCGGGGGGCCGAGGTGGGAGCTACGGCTGACTTTGAGGCAGTTGGGGGAACTGCTGCTGGTAGTGGTCTGGCTTCTAGAGGGTCTCCGAGCCTGGGGGGCCCGAGCTTGGGAAGCCTCCTGGTGGGGGCGCCCACCTTGAGGGGAGGGCTTGGCTCGCCTAACGGTGGGGTGCCGAGGTGGGAGCTACGGCTGACTTTGAAGCTGACTTTGAAGCAGTTGGGGGAACTGCTACTGGTAGTGGTACTGGGAGACATGGTGCAGCATCTACTGCTGGTGGATTTGCTGTTGTTAAAGCTGCTGCATCTGGGCTTGGATGGCCCGCATGCTATGCATCAGGTCATCGAATTGGTTCTGGCTAGTTGCCGGGGGAACAATGGTAGGTTCAGCAAAGGTGGTTCCAACAGAAGGAGGAAGGGGGACGTTCACGGAGGGAAGATTCATAGGCACCATTGTTCGCGGCGTACTCAGGCTGGGGGTCCCATCCACCGAAAGGGGGATGGTGAATTGTCCAATGCATACCACAGGGACTTGAAGTTGTTCCCCGGTGGCGTTCATCTCCGTGCTACGTCCAGCATTACTGGAAGAAGCCATGGGTGTTGGGGTTTCTTGGTCAGAAGGTGCTACGAAAGTTTTAGAGGGAGGCTTTTAGAAGCGGATCCCACAGACGGCGCCAAATGATGTAGCGCAATCCGGTCGGTCCTAGCTGTCAACGACCTTGCCTTTGACTGGAGCAACAGGTGCCTGAAACGGAGAAGAAGGCGAGGAGTCTCCGGGGAGGAACCCAGTGAGAGTGCTCCGAAACTCAACTTAGTATTTCCTCAAAGGCAAGATCAAGACCAAATAGCACAAAGTTATCACGTACCTCCATTCTCGGGGGAGGGGGAAGAGGGCCTTTTATAACCACTTCGCGCACTCACTCCCAAGCTCTTGTCAGGTCGGGTATCATTACCTCTGCACTTCTGCCAGTTCGGGTGTCGTCACCTCTGTTG